GCACCCTGCCTGCGCTGGGGCCCTTCCTTAGCACCTGGGGAGAGGGAAGGGGTCTGAAGGTCCCTGCGGAGCCACTGCTGGGAGGAGCTTTGGTTCCCCCGCTCCTCGGGACGCCGCAAACCTCCGATGGGATGAGGGCAGAGTTATCCTCAGGAATTTGCTGCCTGCTCCCTTACGCAATGTGGCGTGAGACATGTCACTGGGAACAAAGTGACCCAGCGGTCCTGACAGGAGACGAAACACTGTGAGCAAAAGGGCTCTTTAACTTCTGGGGAAAGGTAAAAAAAAAAAAAGGAATGAGGGCTGGAAGTAAAAGACTGGCATATTCAAGTGAAATATTAGCTGTTATTTTTTTAAACAGTGCAGCTATTAAGTCTCTGCACAAGCCTCAATGGGAAATATCCTCATTCTCTGTATTTTGAACCCTGCAAATGCAGCCTGGGTACCTTTCTGGAAGATTAGTTTTTGGCTAATGCAAGGTGATGGGCTTGATCCAGAAGTTGGCTAATATTTTATAGCTGGTATCAATACAGGCAGGCAGGCTGGATGTTCAGATTCTCTCCTTTAATCTTTAAGTCAATAAGCATTAAAAAAAAAAAAAAAATTTAAAAAATTGAAAACTTTTGTCCAATAAATTACATAAATTAAAGCTTTCCTCCTCATAGGATCTCACTTGGGGACATTAGCTCCATGCCCAGACCTAAATGAAGGCCTGTGCATTATTTAAGTCACACATAAAACCTATTTCAGGGGTTTATCTGGGATGAAAAGTACTGGCCTGTGGCTGGTTCTGTGTGTGTGAGCGCGTCTCACAGCAAAATGGGAGTCTGCTAGTTACGGAGTAGCTCTCCTTGGGTATTATTTTAAAGGAGGAATATGAAAATACTTAAGTCCTGGAAAGCTATGAATGTTTGTATCACACTGTCACCACTGACGCTGAGATCATGCAGTTGGTCATTTGTTGGGTTTTTTTGTTGTTAAATTGTTCACATTTAATAGGAGAAGTAGAAAGCATGGTATATGCCCAATACAGACAGGATAATTTTTTCCAGGAATCTTAATGTTTCTGTTCCCTACATTTTGCTTTAACTCCGACACCTTTAAAATATGATAATGGATATTTTGAAAAACTTATTTCCCTCTTTAAATTTAACTGGGAAATCACTTCTAGTCCCTATTAAGCTCCTTTAAGTGCTTTTGGAACGCTAGAGTTTTAGCTTTCTCAAAACAAGACAAGTATTTAAGCTGCTTTAAGTCCAGAATAAAACCTCACAGCATCAGAAGAGCTTAAGCAGCCGGTAATACATAGTTATAAGCAGACGTAGTGCGAGCACTGTCCTGACACCGCCTGTACTCCTCCAATGCAGCCATAGTTGGGGTGGGGTCACAATTGCCACCGATTCTCGAATTTATTTAAATATAGCCAGTTCAGTTCAAAACTGGGAACTTTTCGGTAAACAGTCCTTAGTGAGGACCGCTTACCTGCTTAGGATTCCATATAGCTGTTCTGCTATTTAAATCCTGCTTCCCCGTCTGCTAATTTCTCTCTTGCTCCTTCAAGTATGTTTTTCCACTGTTTCCAAGGAAGCGATGCTATGTGGGTTTTGGGGTTTTTTTAAGTTGTGAGCCAGAACTCTGTAAGGCAACAAGTAGCTGTGGGTCCTTCCGTGTAGGATTCATTTCCAGCTTTTACTTAGGCAAAGCGGTGTTGATTTTACTGGAAATTTGCTGAAGGACTTTAGCATTTAATCCTGGCAGCATTAATTAAGGGGTCTAAAAACACAAACTGTAAGAAGAACCCTGATAAGATAAATATCATTGTCCTCCAAATTGCTCCCAAGATGGTAACTCAGCTTCTCAGCTGGCGTAAATAAGCCTCGAGCTTTTAACTTCCTTAAAATGATGCAAACTTAGGTCAGGTGAGAATCTGGCCCACCGAGTCTCCCTTCCCTGGAAGGACAGAGCATCCCTGTTTTGCTGGAATTCCTTCTCGGTGTGCGTGCCGGGTGCTGCGCACGGGTTGACGTGCACCGGGGGGATCTGCAGCGAGAGCCTTGCGGGCTGATTTTGTTCGTCCGGCGGGGGGGTATTGCCTTATCTACCCAAATGAGAACGAAGGAAGATGGAAAGCAGAGTAGAAAAAAGTAGAAGGGGAAAGAAAGCGATACTTGCTATGCATTGGTCCTTCGGTATTTTGCATAAAGTCGTTCGCCCGGGGGTCTGACGTTGCCTTGCGGTGCCGCCCGGCTCACGCCGGTGCAGGCAGCCGTGCCGGGGAGGGGCGAGGAGAAGCCATGGCGTTGCCTTGCACCAGGACAGTTGCCTCCAGTGAAGGAAAACAAAAAGGGAAGTGACACTGCCGGCTTCTGGCGGAGCTCGGGGCGCAGCGGAGTCGACGCGGAGCTGCAGCGAGGCGACGGGCAGAGGGGCTGCAGAAGCCGCCAGCCGGGGTCCCTGTGCCTGCCCGGACCCTGCAGCAGCCGAAGGGAGAGCGCGTGTTCACCGCGAGCGGCACCGGAGCTAAGGCAGCGGGGAGGACGTGTGTGTATAACCAGCCTTTGGACATCTGAAGCGGCCAAGGTGGCCGCTGTATGCCCCTGAGGACCAGAGTCCTGCCCTCGAGCACAGGGTGGCTGCAGTCTTGCCCCAAACATTGCATCCAACAGCCCCCACCCGCAGTTAATTAATGTGGTGCCCTCCTGGCTTAGCCAAAGCCAGATGCATGTCGCACAGTGAATTTATGAGCTTATTTGGGAGATGTGGTAGCACCAAAATGCCTGGTGTACCTCCCCTCCCCACTCGTCCCACCATGGGGATCACAACTGAATTCCCGAGGTGCCACAGACGGTAGTTTAACCAACAAGCCCAACCAACAAGCCCCTGCTCACACCAGACATCTACTTGGGCTTATTTTCTGTGTTTATTGTCATTGGAGGGAATCCAGTTAGGGATTTTGCTGTGGTAACTGAGCAAAGACGGGTCATTTTTGCCAGCCAAGATGTGATGTGCCATGATGGACAGGCAGCAGCAGCAGGGTTTGATTTCAACAGACTGAGTCAGTTTGTCTTTTTGCTAGTTAGGTCCAAAATTAAATTCCAGTTCCATGAGGCCACAATTTGGACTCATTGGATAGTTTTCGGTGAAAGTTTTTCACTTTAAAACAATGGTGACTCATTGGAACCAGAGGTGTCCATGAAAGCATGCTCTTGTCTGTCTGGGTGTCTTTGGGTCCACAACAAAACTCCTGGTCCAAAGTGGAGAAACAGAGGTCTGATTCGGAGGAAGGACCTGAGCCAGGCTGGCCTCATCCTCACACCTGAGTGTTCTAACCAAGGAGCTAAGGCTATTTAGGCATGAAGTTTAAAAATAATAAATCTCTCTTATTGGAGCTGTTTTGCTGCATATAAATTATTAAATATCCTTTGAATCCACATCCTAGATGGGTGCCAGATACACAAGGATATATAGTCAGCCTTTGTCTCTCTTGGTCTTTCCTGTTGGAGCTATTCCATTTTGTATAAAATGGGCTAAATAAATAATTCATGGCTAAAGAGAAACTAACTTGGTAGCTAGATGGATATGGCACTCTTCTGAGATGTGAGGGCGTCACGGGTAATTCTCTGCTCCAATGAATAGTTGCTTATTTATTTATACTACCCGGAGCAGCGGGAGGAGAGGTTGATAGAGGCCCTCTATACTCCCACCCAGCTCAGGGACCGGGGGACTCTGTGGATTGCAGGATACGAGCTGAGGGACCTCAGTCCTCAGCTGAAGGTTATAATAAAGTGTGAGAATTCATTTTTTCCTCCTTTTTTTTTTTTTTTTTGGTGAGAAAAACAAGCCTCGTGTTCAGCACTACTCTCAAGTGTTAGCTAACAGGAAGGCTGATGGCACATCATATTGCTGCGGTGAATTTGGAGTGCTCAGCCAGCTCCTGGGCTGTGCTGGGAGATTAAACAGCCCTTGGTGGAGCTTCAGCAAGGGCCCGAGTTTCTTCTCATTATCAGCTCAGCCCATAAAGAGGCGTGGGAGAGGAAAGGGAAAAATGGGACATTATTTCTTTATTTCTCCCACCCTTTATTTTTCTGTCCGTTCCACCTACCTACCTTTTCCCCTCAACAAAGGTTCCCATTTGTTCAGTGTTTCCCTTAGATATAAGTAAAGTTAACAACTGTCTAATTAACTTGCCTGCAATTTGGGAGTTAGAATTAGAGAAGCGCCCTGCGGGGCCACTATGCCCACGAGTTATCCCCCCACACTGTCCCAGGGCAGTAACCAACGTCCCCACGTCCCGGACTCCCCCGTGCAGGGACTGCTCGTCCGCCCCAGCCCCGAGGAAGCCCCGTCAGGCTCAGCAGGTTTTCTCGGCGCTGCCAGCCCCTGGTGCACAGGGCTTCGGAGGGTATCCACGACTCCTCCTGCTGCAGGGAGCTGAGAGCTCTCGCCTGCCACTTCAGTGCATGCCAGAGCATCTGAGCCACCCTGCTGGGTGAGGGGGCCAGGGTGATTGTGGGGTTCTCGCTGTTGCTGGCGTCTCAGGCGCTCATTTTGGTAGTGCCCGTCCTCCCGGCGGGGCTGAGGAGCTCCGCACCTCCAGGCAGGTGCCCCCGTGTGCTGGCGTGAGGTGGGAGGTGGTGCTGGATCGAGAGGTATTTCTCCTCCCTGCTTCCCTACCGTTTTTCTTTGCTGCACCAGCACAGCTGAAAGCAATCCAGGACTTTTCTGCCCCCCGAACCCAAATGTGTACCCCTGTTTTTCGGGTGGCACAGCGCCTGAGAGGTCACACATCCCTGCCAGCACCTCCTCGTCCACCCCAGTGCAGCAGCACAGGAACGAAGGGGAGGACTTAGCCTTGTGTCACGGGCTGTAGTGGTTTGGGGAGAGTCAGAGGTGTCCTTTGTCTGATTCAGAGGCAAATTACTAAATTGTTGAGCTTGCAAAATGAAAAAAAGAAAAAAAAGCACCACATTGACCAAAATATGTTTTTTGCTTCTTTTCAGGGAATCTGACTAAACATATGAAGTCAAAGGCCCACAGCAAAAAATGTCAGGAGATGGGTGTGTTGGTATCTTCACTGGTGGATCTGGAAGCCGAAGAAGGTAAAATCTTTCACGTTCTAAACCTGCAATTGCTGCGTAAGAGAGGGCAATATCCGTTCAGGCAGGAGACGTGCTCCGCAGATCGTCGTTTCAAAGACGTGGAGCAGTTTTCTTCTCCCCAAGGGGGAGATTTCTGCTTGCGTGGTGTGGGTTTCGGGGCCATCCTGGGAGGCTGCATCCGTGGGACAGTCCGTGAGCCCGTGTATCCCTGCTGGGGGTTGTGCGCGTTCGTCTGAAGTATTTTGGCTGGCTGCAGGCAGCGGCAGGAGTACACAGACGGGTAGGGAGCATCCTGCGTTTGGCCCGGCGCTCTGCGCGTGGGCTGTACGCGTAATAATAAACAGCGGATCTGTGGCGTGAGAAGGTGCTGCTTGGCCTTTCGGGGTATCTCCAGCAGGGAGTTGAGGAGCCTGACTGCCGTGCGCTGGGAGAGCCGGCGTCTCTCCTGGCCGAAGAGCAAGTCTCCAAAGCGGCAAAACGAGACCCACTGCCGAGGATGCATTGCGTGAGGATGCGAACCCCCACTTTGCTGCTGCAAGCACAGTCTGGGGGGTGAAGGAGTAAGATCAGTCCTGGCACCCTTGGTGAGGCTCTGACGGCGTATTTTGCTGGAGCTGAAGTGCTGAGCATGAGCGTAGGGGTGACCCTTGGGTGCGTGGTCTGTGCAGGCTGTGGTGATGTTCGTGCAGAGCGGGTGCACCCCAGCGATACAGGAGCATCGGTGATTCCGGGGATACCTTCCCCCGAAAGGGCCTCCAGAGAGGGACTTTTCCATAAGGATCATCTTCGAGGGACCTGTCCGTCTTGCTGTGTTTGGCCGATCCCAGGAGACTCCAAATTACCGGTGCGAAGCTGGGCTGCGTCTGGAGGGACTGGTGCGTGCGTGAGCTGCTCCCACCTCCGCAGGCAGAGCCAGGCTGGACCCTGCACCACTGCTGGAGACCTCAGCACCCCAGGGTGGGGTATGAGCAGCATGGGGCAGCTGCTTCGCTCATCCCTCGCTCTCACGGGTCTTTTCCACATGTCGGGCGAAGGTGAATCACCCAGGTTAAAGAGCCAGCGAAACTAAAATAACATGGCGCTTTGACATTTAATGGCATTATTCTGAGTGCTTTACAAGAAGATACATTTACCCTGATTCACCTGCTTATTTCTTTCATCTGCTTAGGAACAAACACACACACAAAGTCTGTCCACAGCCCTGTAAATTCAGAGGTCAGTCTGTTTTTTGAGGAGGATGCATTACTCTGTTATTTAGTAATTTCCGCCCTGGTTTATAGTATCTGCAGCTGAATTTCCCTGAAGCCACCCCGAGAAGCAGGTCTCCTCCCGGGAGGGTGGGCAGCATCAGGCAGGAGTGTGGTGACCATGAGCACTCCTGTCTCCATCAGAAATGTTGAGGGAAAGGCGAGGAAGGTCGCCAAGCTGGGAGATGAAGGAACGGGGGGAAGTCTCATGTATCCTTCACTGTTTGAGCTAGAAGGAGATATTTTACCCAAATTACTGGAGGCTGCGCTCTGACAGCTGTGGAAGGTTCGGTTATGCGTCTCCAGGGAACAGTGAGATGTTTTTACGATTGTTATTCTGTTTCCTTTAGCAAGACCCTGAGTATTCGGGGCTGGAGCCGCAGCGCGGGGATGGTGGGGAAGAAGCTTTAGGGGTGGCAGATCTCAAGTCCTCACGAAATTTTGGGTCATCGGCATTTGCGTCCAGCGGGTCATTCGCGTAGGGAACGCTGCACGTACCAGCTCTGGAGGGAAGGGGGGCTCTGGGAGCACCGGTCTGTCTCCGTCACAGCGTGTTTATTCCTGGATAAAACACTTGTGCCACAGAGCAGGGTGATGTTCTCTGTTTGCATTGCGTTGCAGGCTGGTCACGACACCACTGACCCTTCCTGGCTGCCACCCCAGAAATCCCAGCATGAAAGCGGCTCTTGTGGCTGCCTTTAGCATTTTTTGTTCCCCTGTTTCCCGTTCCCCCCCCCGCCCCGTCTCACCCCAAACAGTTTTGATTCCCCCATCCCTGGGATTCGTTCTGCCACAGCCCACAAGGGTTTGTTGACAATGGGTTAAAATGAACTTCATAAAACACATGGCGCC